GTCACTGCTGGAAGACGGCAGGAGGGAGGGGCTACTATATTTGGGCAAAAATGGCCGCTCCCAGACTCTGTGATCGGGATTAAATTATTGTTTTTATATTTTTTTACTGATTAATGCTACATTCATTAAATCACAGTGAATGTAATAGTTTTCTGTCCCCAGATGACTGTGCTGCTGAGGTCTGCTCAGGTCTTCCAAGGCAAACAGGTTCTGGGTGACGATAAGACAAAGATCCGTTTAGAAAGCCCTTATGAAGACCAGCTTTACACCTTCTGCTTCAGGCTAAATGGGAGTTTGCCAAACTGCTCTATATGTGTTTTTCTATCCCTAATAGTAACCAGTGGGGGGCACTCTAGGAAAACGGGTTTAGGAGCCCTTTAGGGCCCTTCAGGGACATCCAGAAAAAGAAGTTTCTTCTCCTGCAGTCAGTTTAAGGTAAATTTGTCAACCCAGAACATGTCAAAGATCTTGTCCTAAATGAAGCATGGTGTTCATATCAGTCAGATTATGGGATTTATTTGGTCATATAAGTGATATGGATCAGAATAAGCCACCACACTATTTATAGTGCATACGATATTTCCATTCATGTGTGATTGACTCATTTTTACTCCAGCCAGCGCTTTAATCCAATAATTAGAGCCATGGAAACAAAGCAGTGCTGCTAATGAGTGGAGCATAGGAATGGTATGCATCAATGAAAAAAACAACAACTAGGCAGTAAAGCCAAGCTAACTATACATTAGCATAGTTGGAAACTTAAAGTCGACCATTTTCCCAGCTTTAACTGCCTCTGTCTTCCTAACTTATTTGCATAATGCTCTGCCTGTTCATAGATAATCCCAGATGGTTCAGCCGTCCTCAAAGCTGTCCACCCTTACAGCGTTACTGAAGCTAGTGCTCTCGTTAAAAACCTCAATAGCAGCAATCAATTAATTAGTTATAGCTAAGCTATTCAGTGGTTTATTGTGAGAATATCGGCACGAGTGCTGGCCTAATCCACAACTCTGCTCAACTCTGCCCTGCCTGCTATTAACACCGTTTCCACCTGTCTCTACCTATATACTATCTGCTCACTCCTAGCTCCACACTTGGCCCATTCTCTTTAATAAAGTCTGTTGTATTATTTTTAAAAAGGGCACTCTATTAGTAAATTCACTTGATTGAATGCTTGCTCAAATCTTTGCGAATGATTTAGAACATGTTTCTGAAAGTTTTCCGTTTCTCAGTAAGTGCTAGCCTCTGTCCTCTATCCTGGTGTTAATAACACGATGCTAACAGATGTTTTCATCAGATGTAACGCTGATGGTTAAAACCAAAGGCAGCTGGCCAGTAGAGGGCGGTAGGGCGCCACCCCAGGCACCCAATGACATTGATTAAGACATAAAAGAAAAAACAAATAAAATGAAATTCTGAGATTAAAATATTTAAAAATATTTTATTATTTTTTTTTATATAAATGTGCAAGATAAAAATTTAATCTTTATTGACAATAAAGCTGTTTCGATCGTCATCGGATTGTTGACGTATTTCCAAAAATCTTTGCCCATAGACTCCACAGTGCTGACGGCACAGTCGTCTGTTAGAAAGAGCTTCTGATTGACAGGTTGATAGAATTATTTAGCTCCAAGGCTAGGCTAACTGGATGCAGCGAGGCTAACTGCATGTAGCGAGGCTAACTGCATGCAGCGAGGCTAACTGAATGCAGCGAGGCTAACTGAATGCAGCGAGGCTAACTGGATGCAGCGAGGCTAACTGNATGCAGCGAGGCTAACTGGATGCAGCGAGGCTAACTGAATGCAGCGAGGCTAACTGCATGCAGCGAGGCTAACTGCATGCAGCGAGGCTAACTGCATGCACCGAGGCTAAGGCTTTATCCTGCTTTCCCTGCCTCCTTTTTCAAAAGTCAGGATCTGAGCCAGCATGGATAAAGACAGCTAGGACTGATTTAAAGCACTTTATAGAACATTTTAGAATGTTGTTTATTGTTGTTGGCATTCATGTAAATATACTGGTGTGATACCTTAGTATACATTTGATGGGTTTTTGGTATTCATTTATTTTAAAGTTATAGCGCCGCCTGGAGGAAACTCCACCATCAGCTGCTGGTAATAATACAACCGCGCTAAGAAGAATGGAAATTAAACCTTTAAATTAAACGTCCAGTGAAATGATTACCTTAATTCCTGCAATTAATAATAAGAACTGCAGCCATAGAAAGCTGTTGATAGTAAAGTGGATTTTTAATCAGTTCTCATCATTTTTAGCTGCTGTTTGTGGATTTACCTTTAACCCGGTAGTATCCTCAGCAGTTTTATTATCATGTGCCCCTATATGAATATCAGTGATGAAAATTATTGACTGTTAATTAAACTGATATGGTTTAAATAGATTGATTTTAACCTGTTTGTTGATTTATTAAAGTATTTCTGTAGGTGTTTTTAGACCGATCGACTTTCTCATCTTCTCTTTTTCTCAGACCCAAGATGAACAAATCTAAGGTATAGTGACTCAACAACAGACATGCTGCAACATGAGCTGCAAAAAAAATGACGTAAATGAAGATGGAGCCAGGTGCAGGTCTGGCATGCCCACCAGCCTTACTCTCTGATCCAAAAACAGTTCAGGTTTTAGCTCTCTGTTCTTACATGCAGGCAAAAACGGAATGGTTCAGATAAAGCATTCTTTTTTGACTCACCAGCCCTTCTTGTTGGACAGTTCTTTGAGTTTTGCCTGCAAAGCTGAAAAAAAAAAAGAAACATATGTAATGACAAGGAGAGGTGTAAAAAAAGCTCATTGAACCTTAGTCCTTACCTTCCACTTCTCGCTCATGAGCATCCTGCAGCTTGAGCAGGAGGTCTTTAAAGTTCTCCATTTCTCCAGCAGTCACAGCTGAACTGAGAAAGACATGAGCTTTTCATTAACGATTATAAATTAACTTAATTTTCCTTTTTGGACAATTGCATTTGCTCTAGCAGCGCCACACCCATAATCTAATGTTACGAAATGCTAAAAGTTGTGAAGACTTAAAAAACATTTAAAACCAGAACGTTATAGCCTGAGGCCTGTTTGTGCGAGTCTGAGAACAAGAAGCGCGGTTCTCTTTGCTTTTCTAATGAGGAAGCAATTTTTTTGTAATATCGAGGAAAACTCGTTAGACTGGACCTGCCAGGTGTGGTTCTGCAGTTTATGTTTCAAAGCCATGAAGACTTTGTGTGCTTACACTGTAAAAAGATTCCCATCTCAAAGCACAGCATGCAGGAACAGATCATTTCAAGAAACTTTGCACTCAGTCACCAGCAGATTCAACATACTTAGTAAAGTTTACAGTTTCACTGTGGATGGATTTACAGACAGTTCTTCTTAACGGTGCTTTGGGGGAAAAGTGATCCTACATCTGCAACATTTTCAGAATATCCTAATATTAATGTAAAAACATGAGGGAAACCTCAAGAGGGGTCTGGCTGCAAGCCTGCACTGCCAGGACCGGAAGCTAATTCCAGACGTTTTATTCCAAGCCTTCAGGAATAGCGTTGTGCATTGTGTCTGTGCTGGCGGATATTATTAGTAATTTTATTTCCCCACCTGAACACTGGAAAAACAATCTAGAAATAAGTAAACAATTCTTAAATTAAGTGTGTTTATCCTTAATTTGAGTAGGTAAATGAGATGATTTGCCAATGCAATGAGTATTTTAACCCTTAAAATAGGATAATTAGATAAAATGCACTTGAAATAAGACAATGCAACTGTGTTTTCTTATTTTAAATGTAAATTGTCTTGTTCTATTGGCAAAAGGTCTCTTTTACCTTCTCAATTGGAGAACAAATGCACTTACTTTAAGAAAAAAGGACTTATCTAGATTTAGATTTTTTCCAGTGAAGACCAGGAAAACCATAATTTATAAGCCATAAACTATAATTCAGGATGCGTTTGACACCTGACGAGCTGCCGCCTTAACGTGGAGAGGTTGTTTGAGTGCCGGATGATTCTACGAGCTGAGTTGCCCGAGGCGTTATGTCCCTGGTAGGGTCTCACTACCAGGGACATAACGGAATGGGTCAGAATAAAGGTCTGGTTATCCTCCTGCAGCTGTGTGTCGCAGTGAGCTTCTCATAGATATTTTTGATTTATGCCCAATATTGAAGCGTGGTCTGCGCTATGTTATTCCAGGCCACAACGCAACAGGGACAATGAGGAACTAGCGAGTTGGTCTAGATTTGGCCGAGGCGGTGAGGAAGTGGGGGCAAGTTTGTGTGACAACGGAGGGACATAAGGGCCAAAAAGAGCAGAGATCCAGGTGGAATAAGGGTCCCAGCGTTTTTCCACCAGCTGGTCCATCTTCAGTCATTTTCCACAATGGCGGTCATACAAAAAAAACAAGCCGGTAAGGAACCAGACAGGAAATACGCATAGTGTAGAGCGGATGGAGATTTGACCAATCAGAGGCTTCCTGTCTGCAGCATTGTTATTGCTATCAACTACAATTTTGGGGAGGTGCAGCAGAGTGTCTGCGGCAGGGGTGGGGGCACATTTGCGTTCACTGCGACACACGCTCAGGAAACCTGGTTTCCGAGTATAAACCAGCCTTAAGAGCAGCTTGGAATACCCTTATGGAAAGAGTAAAATCAAGGACCGTGACGTTGCCTGGTGTGACGCAGACAGGGCCCCTCCCTGGAACCAGGCCTGGGGTTGGGGCTCGAGTGTGAACACCTGGTGGCCGGACCTTTGTCCATCGGGCAAAGCCGGGCCCAGCCCGAACGGACGACATGGACCCGCCATCCTGTGGAACCACCGCCCACAGAGAGATCCGTACACACGCAGCTTCTGGCTGTAGTGACGTGGAAAGTGATCTCGCTGGGTGGGGGAGGAGCCTGACCTTGTGTGGGAGGCTGAGAGGTACTAGCCGGATATAGTCAGCCTTACCCGCTTTCTTCCTGCTGAAAACGACCTCATGATTCCTGATCGGGAGGTGGTCGTGGGAGGCTGATCGCCCCTCGTTACCCCCATACACTTAACAAAGAACGATCAAGCTGAAAGTTGGGCCAATCGAAAAATTCTCGCTTGACTGGAAAATCGTCCCTAAAAGGGCAAAAAAAAAGGGGGGGCAGCTGCTTTGCTAATGGCTGCATCAAGCTTTTTTACTGCTTTCATCTGAGCCCCTGCAGACTCAGAGGAATTCTATCAAAGAGCAAAAACATGCTATGGGGACCTCGTTGCTAATATTTTGTTATTTTCAAATGTAGGATAATATGGGACTTTTAAAGTAAACGGAACAGTTTATTTCATTAATGCTCCTTTTTTCATGACAATAACAAAAACTGATGAGCTAAGCATGGATCTTTGATGGTAAAAACATGAGTCATAGGTTTGAGTTTTCGTGAATGAGACGAGATTTAATAAAAAATTAGCTGGTCGTCAGTCAGACAGTTAAAATGCATCTATTAGACAAGCTAAACAGTATCTTGCTTGGTCATGCCGCCCACCTGCCATGCCGCGCTGCACATTCTGCATGACCACAGATGGATCATGGCAGCAGCGGCAGGGTCTGAGAACCCGGAATGATCCGGTATGGCGCGCTGAACTCTGCTGAGCTGTGCAGAAATGCGTCTTTGTGTGGCTTGGCTCAGAGTCTGCACTTTACGCTTCACTCTGATGGTTCGCTCTCAGCAGTTCGGCTCTTCCTGCTCTCGCTACTTAATAAACTAGATGTGGCTGATCATCCTCTGCCAAGCGTAAAAAATTCTAACAATCAAGATTTTATTTCTTCCAGCTCACAAGAGGTGATGCTAAACTTCTTTAATTTCCACCAAAAGGAATCCCTAAATTATATCCAAAGAAAATATTTCATTGCATTCTGTTTATTTTTGGATAAAGCTCCAGATTTTTCTCGTTTTTATTTATTTAAATATTATTTAAATGTTTCCTTGTACTGTCATTAAATATTTTTCTCTGTTTCCTTTAAATATTTCAATATTTTAGTTGTTCATTCAATTTAGTTCTGGGTTGCCATGGCATTACAAAGCAATCATGCAGGTACTCCCTTTTTTTATTTTTTTATATCCACACCGTGTGAATTTAAATCTACTTTGACCCCTGAGCTGCAGTAACCGAGGGGAGAATTGAAGAAATAAAGCCAAAATTGTCAAAGTAGGAAGAAGAATGTTTTTGTTCTTCAGTATTTTGGAGTAATGCAGATTTTATTGATCTGTGTTTAATGCATAATTCATAGTAGATCAGGAAGTTTTTGCTTTGGGATCAAACCTTGGATGTCTACAATCATTCCTTTATTTGACATTTTGTTAGCTGTCTGTTATATTAACTAATAGAATGTGTTCAACTAGATCTGCTATTTTCACTACTTTTGTTAGACACTTTTTGTATAAAGTAGGGCATTAATTCATAAAAAAGTTTTCTGCCCAACGGCAATATGACGAACTGCACTGCAGCATTCTATGGCCAGCTATTGTCAGTGTTGGGCATGTTACTTTGAAAAAGTAATTATAGTTACTAGTTACTTCTCCCAAAAAGTAACTGAGTTAGTAACCGAGTTACGCCACAATTAAAGTAACTAGTTA